TGAACTACGTAGTAAGATCCTGTTTCAAGCAAACAACTCATTCACTCACTGAGAGATAAACTAGAGAAGCAGTACCTCTAACAATGGATCAAGAAAAGTGAAGCACTTAGGAATTAACCTAAGTGAGGGAGTAAAAGACCTCTACAAAGAAAACTATAGCTCTCTGAAAAAGGAGAACCATGAAGACACCAGAAAATGGAAAGATATCCCCTGCTCCTGGATAGGCAAACCAATACAGCCAAACTTCCAAAACCGATACACGGACTTAATAGAATCTCAATAAAAATACCAATAGCGTTCCTCACAGAACTAGAGAAACAATCCTAAAATTCACACAGAACTAGAAAAGACCCAGAATAGCAAATGCAATTGCGGGCAACAAGAGCAAGGCAGGGGGCAGTGCGGTCCCAGCCTTTAAGTTGTACTACAGTGTTTTAGGGTCAGTGGAAGAGAATAGAGGATGCAGATCCAGCCGCAGGCACGCTCAGCGACTTATCTCTGACAAAGGACCAAATCCTTTTGCTGGAGGAAAAACAGCCTCTTTGACGAATGGTGCTGGGAAAACTGGCTTTCCATATGCTGAAGACTGAACCTAGACTCATATTTCACCATGCACTACCCTAAAATCAAAATGGGCCAAAAATCTAAAGATTAAAACAGAAACACTTAATCTGCTGGAAGTCAAAATAGGTAAAGCTCTTAAAGACATAGGCGTGGCACTTTCTGAACAGAACCCCAGTTGCACACGAAATAACACCAACAATCAACAAATAGGATCACATCAAATTAAAAAGGAAATAACCAACAGAATGAAGAGACCACTTACAGAATAGGAAAAAACTTTTGCCAGCGACTCCTCAGACAAGGGACCAATACGGAGAATATAAAGAACTGAAAAAATTAGACCCCCCCAAATTTAAAGACGTCATCCAAAAACAGATATCTAAAATGAATAGACACTTCTCAGAAGAAGTACAATAAATACTCAAAAAATGTTCAACATCTCTGGCCACTGGAAAAATGCAAATTAAAACATCACCAAGATTCCATTTCATTCCAGAAAAAATGGTTATCTTCAAGAAATCAAATTATAACAAATGCTGGAAAGGCTGCAGGGGAAAATGAGACCTCTTCACTGTTGATAGGAGTATAAATCAGTACAATCACTATGCACGTATCAGTATGGAGATTCCTCAAAAAACCTGAAAATAGAAATTCCAGCTATTCCCCTTATAGATATTTCCCTAAAAGAGTTAATAACATCATACTATACTGAAACATGCATGCCCATGTTTCATAATACAATTCATAATAGCTAAATCTTGGAAGCGGCCTATATGTCCATCAATGGATGAATGGATAAAGAAATGGATAAAGAAAAATGTGGTATTTATACACAATGGAGTACTGTTTTGCCATAAACAAGGATAAACTTGAGTGATTTGTAGAAAAATGGGTACAAGTTGAGACCATAATATTAACTGAAGTAAATCAGACACATAAGCTTAAATCTCACGTGGTTTCTCTTAAGTGAGAGACCCAGTATATAAATAAAGTGCAAACTAAAAGACGGACAATAGGGAAGCAAAGAGAAAGAAAAAAGTTACTGTAATCAACATGACCAATGTATCTAAATGTGTACCTGGATTTAGTAGAATTGTTGTTTTTTTGTCCATTAGTCTGGCTGTTAATTTGTGTTTAGGATAATTAATTTGATAAAAGTTTAAAAATAAATCTGATGTTGCCAAATAACAAACCAATCAATCAAGTTACTTTTATGATTTGTAAATATATACAGAAATGTTTTCTATAATAATAACTGGGTGCACATTTGCTTTATTCACATTTGATACTAACCATGAATATTATTTCATGCATATTGGTTTATCATTAATATTTCATTTTCAGAGCAAAAAAAATGAAATGAACAAAGACAAAAGAAAAATGTATTTTGGTCAAGACAAATCAGTTGTACAAATATAGGATTAGTGAGACCCAATTTAATATTATGCAGGGTGAAAATAAAAAGTGCTGGGCATGGTGGTGCATACCTATAATCTCAGTACCTTGAGAGGCTGAGGCAGGAGAATTGCAAATTCACACCCAGCCTGGGCAATTTAATGACTTAGGGAGACCCTACCTTAAGATAAAAAATAAAAGAGTGCTGGGAACATAGCTCAGTGTGAGGCCCTGGGTTCTCGAAGCAACCTTCCCCTACCCCACCAAAAAAGTGACAGTGAAGACAGCTAGCACTTCAGTTCTTAAAAGGTGCTAGGCCCAGTGTGAAGCACATTGCATGCACTATAGAATTGGATCCCTAATTTGGGTAAGGCCAGTGGCCTAAGCGCTATTGCTTATCATAATTATCTTCTGGATGCAGAAAGTCTCAGAGAGATGTGAGCTGCCCAGGACAGGAAGCTTGAAATTAGGTGACCTCTGGGCTAAGATTTGTCCACCCCACAGAGAGATGGCTCCACGCCTGATAACGAAGGGTTACCCATAGGAGGCAGATACATTTGGAAGAGAGGGGTCCTGAAATTGTGTCCCATGAAGGCAATCTGAAGGAAGTCATGATGTTTAGCTGAGAGAAAGAAAGATTTAGGGGGCTTATAAAAAGCATCTTAAACTATTTGAAGGAAGGGCTGCCAGGCCACCAAATAATAAGACATTTTGAGTAACTCCAGAAAGCAACCGGTTGGAAGTTACCAGGTGGGAGATTTCAATTTGTGGAGTGGATATTTTAATAAATTAAAAATTGGAAGCTGAGCATGGTGGTGCTTATCTGTAAGCTCAGCACTTTGGGAGGCTGAGGCAGGAGGATCTGAAGTTTGAGGCCAGCCTGGGTAACAGGGAGATCCTGTGTCAAAAAAATTGAAAAGGACTAGGAGGATGTAGCTCATTGTGAAGGCCCTGTGTTCAATACCTAGAATTGAAAAAAAAATTCACCTAAAGTGGGATGGCTTGCTTTGAGAATTTTTAGGAGTTTATGTAACACATATCTAAACTACCAGTTGTTTATAAGCCTTTCTATAATGAATGAGAGGTTAGCCTAAAAGACTTTTACCTAGAATCTATGACCAGTTGGAGCTCCTCCAAGATCCTGCTCAGATTTCCGGATCTTGAAGTTTTCTCTGACAATCAGGGCCCACAATAATTGAGCCTTTCTCCAAGCACTTGTCTCCAACTCTTTAGTCCTAAACTTAACTTTGCATATAAGTCTCCCCAAGACTTTAAGTTCCTTGGCAGAGGGTAGGAGGGGAAGGGGATGTAAAAAGAATTATGATGTGTTACACATATGTGCTAACTCCCCACAATGAATGTAATCATTTACTGCAAAGATGTACTAATGAAAAATTTAAAAAATTTTAGAAGTTCCTTTGCTGGTAAAAATCAGAACTTTGCACTTGGCAGTCACCCAGTACTTGTTACAATTTAGTAATATGAAGTTTCTCTTTGGGTTACATATTGCCTTCTTTCCTGTATTAGTCGTAGAAGTGGCTTGTAAACCATTAAGTCAGGGTTTGTGTTTTACATTTGTTTGTTATTTCCCAGCAGCACCCAATACCTGCTTGATAAACATTGCTTTAAATAGAGTAGAACCAGAAGCCAAAGTAGCAGAGAGGAAAGAGGTAAAAGGTTAAAAAAAAAATCTGTTTTGGTAAGTGTGGACTTTTAACTTGCATCGAGAACTTTTCAGATAGTTCTTTTCTATAGGTAACTTGTATATACTTAGTAGAGTTGAAATTAAATAACTGTAAAATAGAAACAACAAATAGCAAAGGTACCCAGAATGAATTTCAATGAAACGTTATGTGGCAGAGTGTGGTGGCTCACGCCCCTAACCCCAGGCTGAGCACGATCGCAAGTTTGGGCCCATCCTAGGCAATAAAGCAAGACCTTGTCTAAAAAATACAAAAACGACCAGGGATGTAGCTCTGGGTGAAGGACTTGGGTTCAATTCCCAGTCCTGGAAAAACAAAACAAAACAAAACAACAACAAATTAATTAAACCTTATGTAACAGGACAAGGCAGTCTATACAAGGAAGGAGGCTTATTCAGCAACCAAACATTAATCCCAGAAGGTTTCCTCAAGGGTAAGGTCCTGCTGATAGCTGAACGGAAGTAAAGGACACATCCACAGTCACCAGTTTGCGGGGGGGCATGTGTGGGTTAGTTTCTACTATCTGGGGGTATTTCATGTATGTTAGTTTGGAGTTCTTGTTTAGATACAGCGCTCCCCTCACGCGTTACTTTCTCTTTCCTCCTCTACCTCAGATCATCTCTCAAAGCCAGTGAAGGCTGCTAGAGAGGCGAATAATAGAACAGTTTGGAGGTGGCGCCAAGACGTCTTTCCACTTTTCTCTCAGTGCTATGCCATTCCCATATTAATATGGGTTTTTCATTTGCCAAGGGATCTAAGGTTTCTACAGTACCAAGCAATTTACATTCAAACCTACTATGAAACCAACCGACCAACCGCCCGGCGGTGGCACAAGCCTGTAATCCCAGCATTCCGGAGGCTGAAGCAGGAGGATCGAAAATTCGAGCCCAGCTTGGGCAATTTAGCGAAACTTTGTTAAAAAAAAAAAAAAATGTTGGAGAGCTAGCTCAGTGCAAAAAACCTTGGGCTCTAATCCCAGGACTGCAAAGCAAATTACCCCAAACGAGATCATTCTGAGTCCCAGAGCGCAACTACCTTTCCCTACTTCCTGAAAGGTAACACTAGTTCTCTAGCTTCAATTTGGAACTCAGCCAAGTCGGAAAGTCCCTACTTCAGGACCACCGACCAATCAGGAGGCCCTTACCTGCCGAAGGTGAGGAATTGTTTCTTACGGGACAATCTCCTGGGCCAATCAGAGGCGGCTGCACCCGAGGTACTAATGGGCGAGGTTGCACCTGGCTACGGTGAGGCATTCGGCCGAGCGGCGGCTCCCTTGACCAATCAGCAGGTGCAGGGGCGGGGCGCTGACCAATCGGGGAGGGGGGGCAGGGCGGGCCGGGCGGAGGTCAACCTGGGGCTGGAGCTCAGTCCAGCGCGGCTGCAGTTCTCGAAGCTGTTCCCAGAGGTCTGGCTCAGGTCGTCTCCTCGGGATCCTAATCGGGATGGGGACAAAGGCGGAAATTGGGAGGAAACAGTTGCTTCTCTTTACATTGGCGAACCTCTGTAAGTTCTGGGAGTTTCGGGGAGGAATCGGGTCGGGCCCGAGGTTGGAGCAGGGCGCTCTCC